TCCCAGTGGGTGCGGCGGACCCAGCGGCAGCAGCTGCAGCAGCAGCAGAACGAAGAAGCCGGGGGGGGCGGTGCCCCACATTACCCCCGCTTGGAAGAAGAAGACAGGGAGGCGTGCGGGTTCCTGCTGGAGTATCCGCGCTCGGCTCTGGCGCGCGCCGCACGTGGCGGGCACATCAAGGTCAGTGGTCTACACAGGTTTTTCTAGGACAAATTAAGCAAAACATGCTGGATAAAGCATGGAATCGAAGCATGGAATCGGCTACGTTTGGGTTAGGAGAAGAGTCCCAGCAGTCTACCGCGGTTTTTCTGAGTAAGCAAAGATGCTGGATAAATACTGTATAGAATAGGACAATTTAGGGTTAGGTGCCGGGTACTAAGCAGAGGTCGGAATGCTTTTTTTCTCTGTGTCACAAAAACAAAAACACAGCAAAAGAACGACGACGAAAATATCAACACCAACACCACCACCACCACCACCAACAACAACAACAACAGCAACAACAATAACAACGGTAACAGTATCTGACCGCCCTCCCGGCTGCCAAACGAAGGTGCTCGACTGGCTCCGAGAGAACGGCGTGTGTTCGGACGACCCGGGCCTGCAGAGGGCCCGTCGCCGCGACTTCCGGCACGACCGCTGCAAACAATACCGACTCTTGGCTGGCGGCATCCGTCACGGCGACAGCGGCAGCAACAACAGCAGCAGCAGCGGCGGCGGCGGCGGCAGCAGCAACAATAGCAGCAGCAACGGCGGCGGCGGCAGCAACAACAACAGCAGCAGCGGCGGCGGCGGCGGCAGCAGCAGCAGCAGCACCAACAGCAGCAGCAGCAGCAGCATCAACGGTGGCAGCCGCGGCGGCAGCAGCGGCAGCAGCAGCAGGACCATCAACAGCAATGGAATAACCACTGCCACAAGCGACGGTGGTACTCCTGGCGGTGGTGGTGGTAACAGGAACGGCGGCAGCGGTGGCGGTATCGGGGGTGGAGGTGGGAGCGGCGGCGGTAACAAGCGGGCTGCCGTTGCGGCCGCGCCGGCGCACGGGTCCTGCCTCCCTGCCGTCGGCAGCGGCGACGACGACAACGTCAACGGCGGAGGCGGTGGTAGCGGTGGCGGTGGCGGCCACGGTGATGCTGTTGGCAACGCAGCACACGCCTCCTCCATCACCGCTCTCGGCCGCGAGTCGCCGGGAATACCGCGTCCGGAACCAAAGCGATGGTCGACCAGGATTGGGAAACTGGGGATGATGATGATCCCATGGGGCGACGGTGGCGGTAAGGAGAGATCCACCCGTAGCGAGGATGACTCGGAGGCGTGCCAGAGAGGAACAGCGGCGGCGGTCGCAATAGCAGGGGGAGCAGCGGCAGGCGACCGCGGTGATGCTCCTCGAGAACAATCCGAGGCAGCGGCAGCGGCAGAGCCGGCCGCAGCAGCATCAGCAGGGGAAGTAGCAGCAGGAAGCCGCGTTGAAGCTGCTCGAGAACAAGCCGAGGCAGCGGCAGAGTCGGCCGCAGCAGCAACATCAGCAGGGGAAGTAGCGGCAGGAAGTCGCGATGAAGCTGCACTAGAACAAGCCGAGGATGCCACTGCAGCGGTAGCGGCGGCGGCGGCGCCAGCGGCGCCACCACCTACCGCGGCGGGGGCAGCGCCCGATGACGACGGAAACGGTACCGTCGCAAGCCTCCCGCCCACGGATGACCACCGACCAAGGACTAGAAGCGGAGCACATCGCCCCTGCGACAGCGGCAGCGGTGGAGCCAACCTCCCAGCACCGAGAGGCAGTGCGGTCCCACCGACGACAGCGTCGGTGGGAGTGGGGACGAGATTTCCGATCCTGCCACAGATGCCGCTGCTGCTGCTGCTGCGGAGGCGGAGGCGGCGGGGCGGCGAAAGTGCAAGGGGCTCCGCGACAAGAGTTGCGGGGGGAGAGGGGGGGGTCAAGAAGGTGCTGACGACGACGGCCGCTGTGGAGGACGCCGCGGCGGCCGCCGGACACGTCGAGGTAAAAAATAAAAATAAAAATAAAAGTTTTGAGCGATATTGGTAGTGCTCCGTCCTCTCGAGGACGCCTGGGTCAATGGTCTAACACCTAAGGCAAGAAGCGCAGAGCCCGTCACTGCTCCAGAGACATTACACAACCGGAAGAGAATGCCGCAAACGACGCACCCTATGCACACAAATGAACGCCCTGGTCAGAGGGGTGGCAAAACATCAACACACAAACACACACACCTCCCCTGCTCTTTATTCCCAACAGGTCTTGGAGTGGCTGGACCGCCACGCGAAGCCGGCCCCCGCCGCCAATAACGCCTCCGCGGGGCTGCGCCTTCCCGGCTTCGGCGGGCATGATAGGAAGCGCCGCTGGGGGGCGGCGGGCAGCGGCGCGGGGTCGGGCGAGCGGTGCTCTCGCGCTGCCCTTGAGCGAGCTTGCGAGGGCGGCCACTTCTCGACGGCAGTGTGGCTGGCTTCTAAGCGCAGCACGGAGGTGTGTGTGTGTTGTTGTTGTTGCAGCAGCCTTTGTGGGTTTTTTCGTTAGCTAAGAAAACATGCTGGCTGGATAAGGCATGCAATCGGGGGAAGTTGGGTTGGGGTTAGGGTCACGGGGGAATACGGTCTGCGTACCCCCTCCCCGTTCTATTTTTTCTCAAAAAATACTTAAATTTCCAGCGAAGGCCGGTCCGTTGCTGAGTTGCTAAATAGCATCCACCGCAAGGATGACTGACCATGAGAAGGAGTCAGAAATCAGCTGGTAGAACCCCAAGGCCGCTGGCGGAAGGGGGACAATGCGTGTCTTTGTCACTGGCATCGGCCGCGCCAGTCGGTTGTCCAAATAAATGACGGCGGCCTCAGTGAGGCTAGACTCGGAAAACAATTTTTAACGGCCATGCAATGATACTCAATCGAGCTATTTATAGGCAGATTGATGAGAATGCTGTGCTTTGGTTGATACCGCTTTGGTTGATGCCACCAAGCAGGCGGAGAGAGCCTGTGACAAACAAAAATATGTCAGTCTTCGTGAGGCTAGACTCGGAAAACACTTTTAACGGCCATGCAATAGTACTGAATCTAGAGGCAGATTTGATGAGAATGCTCTGCTTTGGTTGATACCGCTTTGGTTGATGCCACCCTATGACAACGAAAATACGTAATCAGTCTCCGTGAGGCTAGACTCGGAAAACACAAAGTGCAACAAGATTTTGAAAGTAGAAGCAGATTTTGGTTTTAGCAGTAGCACTGAAAGCAACAGCCGTGGGCCCTCTTGACTGTGTCTAACAGCATCGAGAATGATACTCCTTTGGTTGTCAACGACGTCGGCAGGTGGAGAGAGCCTACGACTGCATCCGCAAAGGCCGCCGAGCACATAATTTTCACCAAAAGAAGTGAAAGCCCCGATTGTTTCTAACAGCATCGAGAATGTCTCTCTTTCGGTTGTTGGCGACCTCGACAGGTGGAGAGAGCCTACGACTGCATCCGCAAAGGCCGCCGAGCTCATAATTTTCACCAATAATAATGTGAAAGCCCCGATTATTTCTAACAGCATCGAGAATGGCTCTCTCTTGTTGACGACCTCGACAGGTGGAGAGAGCCTACGCCTGCATCCGCAGAGCAGCCGAGAAAGGTCACCTGGAGATCGTTGCCTGGCTCAGCAGCTCCCGGTCGTGGAACCCTAGCGCCAGATTCGCGAGCAGCTGGTCCGGGGCTACGACCACCGCCATGGACTATGCTGCCGCCGGGGGGCACCTTAAGGTATTATGCAGACGGCACCAAAGTTTCTCCTCATGCCGTAGGTTGCATGACGTAAGATACCACACCCCCTGTGCCGATTTTCAAAGCTCGACTACTCAACGACGAAGAGGATGCCGAAAGTGAAGAGAAGGTTCCAACGCCTCCCGCCATTTTTCGGTACCGTCACTGGTTTCCCTCCTGCGGTACTTTGCCTTCGATACATAATGCGAAAAGAGTTTTCCATCATGATTTAGCCACGACGAAAAGGAGCTGGGCATTGTATCCGGCGACAGTTTTCGAATCCAGCCAGCCTGAAGCTTACAGTGCGGGCCTGATGACTGCCACCGGTGGCAACGCAACGTATATAGGGGCAAATATCATTCCCGGGGGGGGGGGGGGGGGGGATTGTCGTGGTTGTTATTGTGATTGGCATCGTCCGCGCTCACTAGCCGACTGGCCAATAAGCACGGCCGTAAATTTCCATTTGCCGCAGAATTGTAGTTCCTCTTGCTTGTATACATATATTTAAAGTTGTTGGTTCGCTGTTGCTCATGCATCATCATCACCTGCTGGAGACCATCATCGTTGCCCAGGCCGTGTTGCCCGGCCGTGCTTGCGGGGGGTCGGATCTCGATTGGCGAAACCATCACGCCTAGATATTGTGCTTAGTCTAGTCGTTGGTGTCATGCCGACTGGGCGTGCGATCTCGATCTCGATTGGCGAAACCACCACATGGTTATTTCGCATTGTCTACATAATAAGTCGTCGGTGCCATGCACACCGGGTGTGCGGTGGGATCTAGATTGGCGGAAAGACAAGTGTTTCTGTCGAACAGACGACTAGCGGCACCTCATTCGTGGATCCCATCACGTATTTTGTGATTTTGCTCAAAGTCCAACTGGTAATCGTTGGTGTCATGCTCTTTCTGGCACCTTCTGCCTCATTATTTAGTCTATCCCATCACATATTTTTTGAGTTCGCTTAGTCCAACAAAAGTTCGTTGGTGTCATACTCTTTCTGTCACCTTCTGCCTGATTAGTCTATCTCATCAAACAATTTGTGAGTTCCCTTTGTCCAACTATTATGCGTCGATGTCATGCTCTTTCCGGCACCTACTGCCTCATTGGCCTATCTCATCACACAGATTGTGAGTTCGCTCAAAGTCCAACAAATAAACGTTGGTGTCGATGCTCTTTCCGGCACCTACTGCCTCATTAGTCAACGCCATCACATATTTTTGTGATTTCGCTCAAAGTCCAACAAATAAACGTTGGTATCGATACTCTTTGTTCCATTCTATATCGTCGAAGGTGGTGCGATGGCTGCACGACCACCGCGCGGAAGGATGCACGACGGCGGCCATGGACAAAGCGGCCAAAAAGGGTCACCTCCATGTTGTAAGCTGTCGATCCCGTTGTTGTGGTGGTGGTGATTGTTGTTGTTGTTGTTGTTGTTGTTGGGTTTGCGTATGGGATCCCGGCTGCAGTAGGGGCGAAGGAAGTCTCTACTATTGTTGTTGTTGTTGTCGTTGTCGTTGTCGTTGTCGTTGTTGTTGTTGTTGTCGCTGTTATCGTTGTGGTCATCGTCGTCACTGTTGGTGCTGGTGCTGTTTGACGGCTTCTCTGCTACTGTTTCTTGGTAGTGTTGGTGGTTACATCAGTGCTGCTGGATGATTTACGGCCGCCTTGGCCTCTATCGGTGCCAGGAGAAAGAAACGTACGGGTTTTCCGGTGTTTGCAGTTTGATTCGTTAAGAACTGTCGGCGTTGATGAGGCAAGACAGTACGGTGTATAGCAGCATGCTAAGCGTCTAGTCTAAACGCAGGCCCCATGATCCTGCTTGCAGCAGTCAAGAACTTGAGCCTAAAATTGATCCAAAACCTAAGTACTTGGGCATGAGACAGTTTCTCCTTCGAGAAGCCTGCACTATTGTCGCCGTCGGGGTACAGAACCCCATAGACAAATAAAGAACCGAGCCTCGGCGAAAAGACCTTCTTCGCGACAAACTAAGTTTATGAGGAAATAGAACAGGGGGGGCGGGGTACGCAGACCACCTATTTTTTTTTCGCTGTAACCCAAAGCCCTGTCCCAACATCTCCCGATTGCGTGCTTTATCCAACAAGCTTGTTTAGAAGGAAAACCCTGCGAAAGCTAGGCTACTGGGACCGCGGCCAAAAACAAGAGGTTCTTCATTAAGCTGTGGTGGTGGCGCGTGCTGTAGTTTTGACGATACCTGGGGAGGCGCCGGGCAGGCACATAGCCCAAGCGACGACAAACTCAACAGACTTATCACTGCCGCATGTATGTCCCCCGCCGTCTCCCCCCCCCCCCGTACCACCGGCTACCCATGCAAAGGTGGAGTGGCTGCACAACAACCGCACGGAGGGGGGAACCACAAAGGCAATGGACTGCGCCGCCGCGGCCGGACACCTGGAAGTGGTGAGTGGGACCCCGCCTCTTCGCAGGGGTACTAGCGTCGTTTCTAAATTGGAGGACCGCCTTCGCGCGATAGAAACATAAGTTTTTGAGGAAATGGAACAGGGAGGGGAAACGCAGACCCTATCCCCTAACCCTAACCCTAACCCGACTTCCCCGATTGTATACTTCATCCAACATGTTTGCTTAATTTACGAAAAACCTGGGAAGGCTACTGGAATTAGAGAGAGGGGGGGGGGGGTCGTGACCCTAACCCTAACCCTAACCCTATCCCCTAACCCTAACCCTAACCCGACTTCCCCGATTGTATACTTCATCCAACACGTTTGCTTAATTTACGAAAAACCTGGGAAGGCTACTGGAATTAAAAAGAGGGGGGGGGGGGGGGGGGGGCCAATACGCCCCAGTCACG